TATAACCATCTCGTTTACGCCTAAAGTAACATAGCTCATTATTTTATATTTTGTTTCTCATTAAAAATAACGTGTATTCCCCACACTATTTTCTCCTGTATCGTGAGGGCAGCTTACATACATAAATTTTACAAGAACAAACATCCAGACCCGAAACAATTATTTGTAGGCCATACAAATACTTGTTTCGTGCGGGATTCCTACCTGCGACCCTCAGCGTCGAAACTCATTGCGCCACGGAGTCACGCCGAGGATAACTAAACCGGTTTGTTAACTTTCTGGCCAAGACAATTACTCCGTACAATGGAGAGGTTCAAGTCCAAAAAGGCTGATAAAAAAGAAGAATATAACACAGCATAACAGTAAATATACAAACATTTTTCTAAATGTCAACCTGTCTAAGGTCGATGAAGAATTTTCAGGACGGAAAATCAATTAAAAAAACAACTAACCGGCGGAATTGTAAATTCAATTATATTTTTTATAGGATAGGGTGACAAACGAGCACACAGTTCACCTGATGTTAAGTGGTTGCTGTGGCCCAAAGACGTCTACATCTATCCTCAATAAAAAGAAATAAAGAATCAAAATGCAGATACGTCGTCACCCGTTAGGACTAAGATGGAATGCCTCTTTTCCAAAAAAAGGGTCTCCGATTCTCTACACTCACCATACGAACACAGCAGTATCAAGCTGCTATTTTACGCTGGTATTCTGTGAGAGTATATGTATATGCGTATACATGTACAAATATATTTGCGTATATACGCTATTTTTTTAACGACTATTTAAACTTAGTAAAAGAGAGACCTTGTATATTTACCATAATGCTATTTTTAACTTCCAACGAGAAACATTCAGAGTAGTGCCATAAAAATATGAAATACATAATTTAAAATTAAAATTTTTGCACAGTTGACTTCAATATAAGTTATTTTTTAAAAACTCATAAACTATTGCCCAGACCTTGATAAAACCACAAGTGAAGCACCAGCTTTTAAATAAAAAAAGAATCATCGAAATCAGTTCACCCAGTAAAAAGTTATGAGGTAACGAATTGAATACCGTCTTCTTTTTGAAGTCGGTACAAAAGAGATTCTTTTAAAATACATATTAAACTCGTTTTTATTTACGCTGGTGTGAATAACCCGGTCAAAAGTTGGTCCGCATATTAATACACATTATTGTGAGTGAGTGAACTCGGTGTTCTGTAAATGTGGCAAAAACCAAGATTCTACAGTTCTGTCTATTGATGAAAACTGCATCAAAATTTGTTGCGTAGTTTAAAAGATCTAAGCATGCAGACGGCGGGAAGCGATTTTGTTTTATTTTATGTAGAGATAGAGAGATACGTGTTATATAAGATTCTTTTAAACTTTAATATTATTTTTAATTTAATTACATATTTTTCTACTAGCTTGACTTGTATGTATGTTATATATGTGTAGGATATGAATATCATTGAATTCTCTCATTCAGTTTTCACTCACTTCTAGACGTCTGAATAATCCAATTTTGCAGACGTATCAACAGCTCATGACAATACAACAATTAATGACTAAAACATATCGTTTTCGTTAGGGTCGTCGCAGCTAATATCAAACCACGGCTTTTGTTATTTGGGTTTAATTGAGATGATTTTTTACCATGACCAAGGAACTAAAATTTCACCGGATGATAAATGGCTCCTGCACGCCTAGGACTAACCAACTTCGAGCAAAAAAGACTTCACATGCGTTCTCACCTCTCAGGACTAAGATGGAATGCCTCACAGCTTGAAGCTTGTAATTAAATATAAAATGAGCGGACAATGTGGTAGCGCTTATATTAGCGTTAAACAATATTCAGCAAGTTGAAATTTCATAACCAATGCTCGATTGGTACACCCGTTCCGTATCGTAAGGTAACCTTAGTCATTGGAACGTAAGTGGATTTAAAATTCTGCCTCGGATAACCCTGAACTGCTTAATGCACAAGATGTGTATTGCATCAAGAAAGTGTTGGGTAACGCATTAGTCGCTAATTTATTCAAGTCACATGCGAAACAGTTGCGGAAGATTTTTAAAGACCATGACATTCAATACGCATACTCGATTGATTTGGCAGATAAAAAGATCAAAGAGAAGTGCGTTCTTTTATCCATTTTTATTACGAGACTATTTAGATCTATAGACCATTAGGATCTTATCTTAGGATCTACGTAAATACAACATACAGTACTATAGCTGCGAGTTTTTTTTTTTAAATTAAACTGAAGTGATAAATGAACATACAGTCCAACTGACAGTTAGTGGTTGATAACTGCAGTCCATGGACACCTGCAACCAACTTTAAAAAAGAAGATTACACATACGTTATCACCTCAGAGGTGAATTAAGTTGGAATGCTCCATAATTATTCTCGCCCGTAATAGCCTTCAGAATGGAACGCAGCAGTCAGGCTTAGCAGGCGGGTTGCCAACCGTAGACTTTATAATTTGAGTTGTTATTAAAAAGATGCTGCCGCCCTTTTTTTTTTATAGAATAAGAGTGACAAACGAGCACACAGTCCACCTGATGGTAAGTGGATACTAGATATACAACTTAATTTTGCAGATAGATGCAAAATGCAGATACGTTGTCACCCCTGAGCACTGAGATGGAATGCCTCGTTTCCAGTAAAAATGGTATCCGGTTTTCTAAATTCACCATACGAAACACAGCAGCGTTAAGCTGCTATTTTACGCTGGTATTCTGTGAGAGTGTGGTCCTACCCACGGAATGGTTTGGTGTAGTGGATTATTTTATGTAAGATAAGAGCAGCAGTAAAACAAACAAGAAATAAATTATTGTTTGTTTTATTGCTGTTCAATCCATACTTACTTTATACTGCTGCTTAACCCACAATTACTTTCTTACTAGTATCACTTGTTTTATCACCTGTGTTGTTTTTGGAATAAACCTCTATTTTAGGAAATAACTGGAAGACACAACAGACGAAAACAAGCCTGTAGATGAACTACAGCCTGATAACTAAAATAAGAACTACAACAATTGCCAAGTGTGGCAACTATGGCAAATAATCCCCTAAGGAGGCAAACTAGATCTATATTAGCAGTAGACAGATAGACTATATATATATATCCCATACATCCATTATAGTTCCCAACCATATCTCTCGCAACACTGCCAAAGATTTGTTTGCAGAAAATGCCTTTATAACGCTAATGTTGTCTTCATTCAAACATATTATTATAGTTTTTATTATTATTTATTATTTTTGTAACTACCATATCTCTAAAAAAAATTCATTTGCAATAAGGAATTTTCTATTTATATACATAATACATATTATGTGTTGCAACTGCTGGTGAATGTGTTATAACATGTAACCCGTGAGAGTGCGTACGTCTGACTTTAAAGCTTTTCTCTGTAGCCGGACAGAATTTTTATCTCTCTCTTTATGAAATAGCTATTCCGTCATCAATGCCACAAGATTTAATTAGCATCTCAATCCGGAGAAATAAATGAAGCTATACATTCATTCTCAACGTAGCATTGATTGGAGACCGAACAAACCACGTAACTTCATTAGAGACTTCGTCACTTTATATTTACCTGGCTTGTAAACTTGGGAAAATTACATTTCAAAATTAAAACTAATTTGATTATAGGGCTATAAGCGATGAAATAATCTATATTTTGATGAAACCGAAGTGGAGGGGATTGAGGATCTATAATACATTGAATTAATATTGAGGATTATATTTAGTAATACTAGCTGATACCTGCGAATTCGTCCGCGTTGCTTGATATATTAACAAAAAAAAACACATCACCTGAACTGCATGTGCAATGAAGATATCGCAATATGTTTTTTTTTAGATAAGGACCAAGTGCCTAAGAAATAAAACTTAGAAAACCTAATTGAAATCTATCCAGTAGTATTCCGTGATGCGAGCACAACTACAAACCTCTATCATTTTGTTTATATAGATTATGGGTGCAAGTACAGACTGCCATGAGATTCCGAATTGCCCTAGCCCTGTACCATTACGGTTGAGGATATGATTGAGCTTATAGTTTCCCGTATATAGAGTACTAGCGGTTTCCCGCGACTTCGTGGGATTTAATGGGTTTTGATTATTTTGCGCGGTACCCTACCGCAAACATTTTGCCGCATCACTGTACACATGTGGTATGCGGCGCTGCGATACGGCACCGTTGCGGCGCCGTAGTGTGCGGAGCGGGGACCTAGCCAGTCCCAGTGCAAAATGGAAATGGATCGAAATAGACGTCGCGACGCCGGAGCAGCACTTCATCCCCCCCCCCCCCCCGCGTCTCGCTCAATCGAAGTGCAGTGTGCCTGCAGTGCGGCGCCGGAACGCACCGTCTGGCATATCATTGATTTTTATATGCAGGACGCCGCAGCGACATAGCTCCGGCGCCGCGCCGCGACCGCACCGCACCGTGTGGCTTCTTTCTTATTGTTTTTCTAATATAAAAGTAGCCTAAATTACTCCTTACAACAACAGCTATCTGCCAGTGAAATTCTGTCAAAATTAGTCCAGCCATTTCGGAGGATTACCGGAACAAACAGACTGACAAACCGACAGATAGACAGACGGATAAAAAAATTGTTTTTTGTCATAAGTACCGCATATACTTTCATATGTATTTAGTAAAAACATGTTCTTTCTTTTTATTTATTTGTATAGATGTATACATATCGTACGTCAAACGTGTAGTGGCGGTGTAAGAATATTCACTAACCCATATCGTCTTCTTAATAACAAATTAAAATACTAACAAAACTCCGGTTCGCGAACCGCATGCCAAGCGTTTCAACTATGGTAAAATCAATCCAAATCGATTAATCCTCCAGTACTTTGGAACAGGCCCAGGTTTAGCTGTGAATTGTTTACTTCAGCTGTGAATGCTTGAAGGCAGTAGGCATGTCATGAGGCTGATGCAAACCTCGAAATAACGATTGATGCTTTTCATTAAAATAGAAATATATAGGTGCTAAGAGGCTTATTGGTGACCCGAATTTGGTTAAAACCAATCTTACCAGCCTCGATTACAGGCGCAAAGTAGCCAGCCTTTCAGTCTTCTACAGGATGCATTTCGGAGAGTGTGCGCAGGAATTGCATAATTTAATTCCTCCCTCTCCCTTCCACCATCGGACAACCAGACGTACGGCCAGTCTCCACCCCTTCGTTGTTGACTTACCACGCATTCGAACCAAACGGTTTGCTACATCGTTCATCATGCGTACAGCAAAGGAGTGGAATAAGTTGCCAACATCTGTGTTTCCATCCGAATATAATGTGGGTATCTTCAAGGCAAGAGTGAATAGGCTTTTGTTAAGTGAGTGCTCTTCACCATCTTAGGCTACATCACCACTTACCATCAGGTGGGAATCTGGTTAAGCACTGGCTTAGAATAATATAAAAAAGTAGTGTAATAGAATATTATACAAATATGTATCTCTATCTATATTATATATAGATAGGGATCTATATAGAATATAGATAGGAAAGACTCGACGATTAAGACCTTTTTACAATGAGAGAAATCTTGTCAAACAATGGATACTCCTACGTCAGTTAGGATTGGTGATGTGAAAATTTCATTAATTACTCATATAGCCGACATTAATAGGCGTTTTATCGAATCAGTTTATTAACACTTCTTAAATCGTTACGTGGTTGTTTTTGTTTACAACTGCAGGCGGACCGGTTTTAAACGAGTCGCCGTTTTCTTGCTGTTTTTGTTTTAATGTATGGCCGCCAGGTACGGTAATGCAGTTGCATCGGTTGCAAGTTATGTCCAAAATTACTTTAACTATTTCGGAAAGGTAAAATTATTATTAAAAAAAAAAACGATTGCAGTAATTAACAATTAGCAATTGTAAGTTAAAAAAAAGACGAACGAAAAATAAGACGAAACGACGAACTTTTAACAAAATTTAGAAACCGACTTCATACTACTAAATGAACCGCACCAACAAAATCGGTCGAGTTGGTTTATATCGCTTAATAACGGATCCATGCGGACGACGTCACGGGGTATCCATTTATTGTATACCAAAACCTTCTTCCGAATGTAACAAAAAAAAAATACTATTTTGAAAACCGCATCAAAATCGGTCCAGCCAAAGGCGAAATTTTTTTATAGGACAAGGGTGACAAACGTGCATATAGTCCACCTAATGTTAAGTGGTTGCTGTGGCCAATAGACATCTACACCCATCCTCGATGACGAATCGAAATGCAGATACGTTGTCACCTATGAGGACTAAGATGGAATGCCTCGTTTCTAGTAAAAAGGGTTTTCGGTTATCTACACTCACCATACGAAACACAGCAGTGTTAAGCTGCTAATATACGTTGGTATTCTGTGAGAGCGTGGTCCCCCCCGGTCGAGTCGACCCATTCGTGCTACAGCTATACTACTAATATAGCTGCAGCATGGCTCTACCACATTAAGAATAGATATCGTATAGAGATAATCGTGGACAAACATACATACAAACATACGGGTCAAACTGAGAAACTCCTTTCTTTTGAAGTCGTTTAAAAACTTACGCGTGCATTTCAAAACCCCTTAAGTTGTTTAAGCTATGTAGGTGGTCACAAAAGAATATACATCACCTTAGTCAGCATAAAAGAATAAAATAAGCTCGATGTAATGTTCGCTGTTGCAAACCCGACTTAATCTACTTCGTAAATCTAGTCTTCTAATTCAGAAAGGTTTGACGATTATCTGGATAGTTTTCTGATATTTTGGTTTAAAAATACACCATATTTGATACATTTAATTTGCAATCATCGTTCTTCCTGTAGGTTTTAAATGTTTAAAATAATATTTTTTTGAAAAATATACGTAGACCAAAATGTTTATTAAGTTTAAGGTACATAAAACTTTTGATATTCGTTTCGAAAATGATCACCCCACATATTTTTATTGCATCAAGGACTAAACAGACGATGTCATATTTATGTTTATTTAGCCTGTGTGAATGTTTGCTTAGAGACGCAAATATTCAAACAAATAACAAAGATGTATGTGAACTGGTTACTTAACATATGCAGATGCAGACATTAAGTAAAAGTAAAGTTTTTTCGCTTTTTCGCTTTTTCACACATCTTTCGATATCGATAAGTAAGTACATAACGTAATAGACATTATTACTAAGTCTGTTTTTTTTTTATTTGGAGACACTTTTGTCAATGTTTTTTTTTAATTGAATTGATTGAACAGTCCACCTGATGGTAAGTGAATACTGCAGCCCAAAGACACTTGCAACCAACTTCAAATAAAGAAAGCTACAGGTGCGTTGTCACCTGAGTAAAGACCACATGAGTAAAGACGGTACGATTTCTTTACTCGTGTACCTATAACCTTCAGACCGGAACAGAATAGTGCAAACATCCTCATCTAATCATCTAATATTATAATTTTACAAATTCTTGTGAAATTTTATATTTATTTATTAAGTGTGCGCGTGTGTGTGAACGCGCGCACGAGTGCGTGTGTGTGTGTGTGTGTGTGTGTGTGTGTGTGTGTGTGTGTGTGTGTTTGTGTGTTTGTGTGTGTGATAGTTTAAACACGGGGATGGTTTTTTTAAAGGACAATATTATACTAAAATATTAAAGGAAACTTCTTAAGTTTATGTATTTCCATGTTTCAAAATTTCTGCAGCAATTTACCACATCAGCAATGTTGATTTATATTTGGCTTTGAAGCTTATATTCTATATTACGTCAGAAATAGGTAAGAGGGTGGTGCTCAAACAGATTCCAAGGCAGAAAAGAAATCCTACACTTGTTAATGTAATTACGGTTGGAGGCTTATGTAATTAGAAATTATAAGACCTATGCAAGCAGTGATGTTTTCTACCGATTTCAAAAAGGAGACGGTACTCAATTCGACTGTATGTTTGTTTTTATGTGTGTTACCTCATAACTTTTTACTGGGTAAACCGAATTCGATGATTCCATTTTTATTTGAAAGCTGATGCTTCACATGTAAATTTATCATATAAATTTACCTTATAAATTTTTTCAAGGTCTGACGAATAGTTTTTGAATTATTCTTGATAATTTATATTGAATTCGGTATTTACGAAGGCCGAAAATAAAACGGATGCAGTTATTGAGCTGACGATCCAATTAGCACAGAAGTACTTGATTTACATCAGTAACACACATCAGCATTATCGATAACCGGTAAAATAAGTGTTCGAACTAAATTTAACAACATATTCTAATATGTCCAAATTACAAATTCCTAGTAAGTAAGCCTAATTCCGATGGAAGGTTTCGCCTCCAATAGTATCGCCTTATATAGTTAAGCAACTGTTACAGCTTTTATGGAGGTACCGTTGCAGGAAGAGCCTTGACTTTATTAGATAAACTATAGTTGAATTTAATGTAATAATAACATATTCTAATATGTCCAAATAATAAATTCCAAGTAAGTAAGGCTAATTCCGATGGAAGGTTTCGCCTCCAATCGTATCGCCTTATATAGTTAAGCAACTGTTACAGCTTTTATGGAGGTACCGTTGCTGGAAGAGCCTTGACTTTATTAGATAAACTATAGTTGAATTTAATGTAATAATAACATATTCTAATATGTCCAAATAATAAATTCCAAGTAAGTAAGGCTAATTCCGATGGAAGGTTTCGCCTCCAATCGTATCGCCTTATATAGTTAAGCAACTGTTACAGCTTTTATGGAGGTACCGTTGCTGGAAGAGCCTTGACTTTATTAGATAAACTATAGTCGAGTTTAATGTAGTATGCGTATCAACTTTTCATTTTTGCGTCTGTGTACACAGACAGCGGTTTATAAAAATCTACGTGTTATTTGGTAATTAAAGATTTGTACGTGCAAAGTCTTTAATTACTTAACTTTATTTCATAATTCTGAAATACAGTGTCAAGTTTCGCTATCGAATCATAGTTTGTTAATATCTACTAACCATTAAATTTATTAACATACTAGCTGTCCCCCGCGACTATGTCCGCGTGGAACTTACAACAAATTCATGGGTTTTAATTTTTTTGCGCGGAACCCTAATTATTTTTTAAAATAAAAATATCCTAAGTTACTCCTTATAACGTCAGTTATTTGCCAGTGAAAGTCCCGACAAAATCGATCCAGCCGTTTCGGAGATTAGTCGGAACAAACAGACAGACAAACAGACAGATGGACAGACAAAAATGTTTAAAATTGTTTTTTTTTTGTTATTAGTACCATATGTACTTTCATATGCATTTAGTAAAAAGCTGTTATTTTATTATTTTTTTAACATTACAAACAGACACTTCAATTTTATTTATTTGTATAGATACAGATTGATTCAAAGAATAAAATTTGACAACAATTATGTATGAAAAAAATAAAAGAAATTAAAATTTATGTATTTCTCTCACCACAAGGCTGTTGATCACTGGTGCCTGAATTAGGTAATTAAAACCTAAGTGAGACACCAGGCAGCTACTGAGAATTTCTTGACGGAAAAACCCAAATAACTGATATTGATCCGATTCGGGATTTGAACCCGGTCACCTCATGATTAGCAGTTTTAGGACCACTAGAACAACGAGGAAGGCATGTTAGCCAATATAATACATATATTTATATAGTTTAATATATATTTCTACAATATCTTTTATCGACCTACACGTACTTTATTTTATCTCTGCATCACCCAAGGTTGATTGGTAGAGCATGCCTCATAGAGTCCGCCTATACATATTATGTTGTATGAAGTTAATTAAATAGTTTCTTTTCCAAATAGAATAAGGGTGACAAACGAGCACACAGTTCATCTGATGGTAAGTGGATATTGAGGCTCATAGTTATCTACGTCTATCCTCGATTAAGAATCAAAATGCAGATGCGTTGTCACCGCTGAGGACAAAGAAGGAATGCATCGTTTTCAGTAAAAAAGGGTCTTCGGTGTTCTACTACATATATTACACTATTGAACTGTTAAATATAAATAAATAAATACGTCACATATTCTACAAATCTAGCCACATCTAGCAATAAAGCTTGATACGGGCTACGGTATGGGCGAAGCACGTTTATACAACTTACAGTTAACCAATGCCTGTTTTGTCACTCGTACCTGTATTTTATAGGAAGTGTGCTTTACTCTGTGCTAAGCCCACTGGCCGCCATAGCGGTTAGCAGTATGTCCTGATTTCCGAGGTGATTTTTCTTTACAACGCTGCATCTGCATTTTACCACTTGGTTACGATGCAAAAGCACGTCACAAGTCCTTGATATTTTTTTTAATTCAAGCAGTTTTGTCCAATGTTTTCTTTCAACGTCAAGCTTACCTTAAATGAGCACTTTAAGTTGCAGTCTATAT